AATTCAGTCCTTCATCCGTTATTTGACAGTCTTGAGTTTTCTGATATTTTATTCTGTTGGATGTAGTTTAGAGTGAGTTTTGTTCAAATAAAAATTAGAACTTAACGTTCAACTATATATGAAATATAGTATATGTTCATAAGCCTACCTCTAGATTTGAGAGTGTTTAATTTTCTTTAAAACATGTTAACCGGGAAACTTTGTTTTTACATTTCAAAATCTTCTTGATGATTTAATCCAGCCAAAACAATAGCTTGAATAAAATTTTGACATGTTTGCTTTGTTTCTTTTTGGTCCAGTGTATTTTGCAATGACGTTTATTCATCGTTTTGTTTAGGGGAGCGGAGAATTAGAGTGCATACGCTTTGCTCGCCAGTGGTCAGTTCGCTGGCAGATGTGTACGCGGGAGTGGACGTACAAGCCGCCGTCTGCCTGCTGGCAAACATGGGTGAGTGAAAAAGGAAGGAACAGGTGAAACATATTTTTCTCTCTTAACTGAAGCTAGGTTGTTTTTCTTTTACCTTAGAAATCCCTTATTCAAAAAGCATATGCTTTACATTTTTGTTCACTGCAGTGTCAGTTAGACTGTTCTTATGTTTCTTGCTAATTCTTAGTTTAGAAATCTTTTGGGGAGTTCATAATCACTAAACACTGGCAAAAACCTAAATGTTCTTCAGCTGATGAATGTATGCACAAACTGTGGTGTATGTCCATGCAGTGTGATACAACTCAGCAGTAAAAAGGAACGGACCATCAATACTTGGACAAACGTGCCTGGCTCTTAAAGACATTGTGCTAAGTGAAAGAAGCTAGATTTAAAAAGCTGCATAGCTCTGATTCTGTTTGTATGACATTCAGGAAAAGAGAAAACTGTCAGATGGAGAATAGTTCAGTGACTGCCAGGGCTGGGGTAGAGTGGGGTTTTACTGAAAAGGGACTGTGCACTTTGACACCTAACTGCCATAGAACCATACTCAAAATACAGACTTTACTGTGTGTAAGCTTTAAAAAAATCCTTTAGGGAATTAATATAGCACTGAATGTTTTCTTTTTAACAAATTTACCTTATAGATTAATTTAGACATGAAATAAACCTTGCTATTTCCCATGAAGTCCTAGAGAAAAACAGTCATTAGTACTCATTTGGGACAAATTTATAATAGCATTTGCTAAAGGATCCCAGTTTTTTAAGTGTCATTTTATATCTAGATTTTGAATTAATTGTACCATAACTGTTTTTCAATCTAATTTTATTTTTAGTGCTTAGGCATATGTATAGGTTATCTCTGTTTTAATAAAATATATTCTTGAAGGAAAACAAACTTCACGTTGATACATCTCTTCAATGTCTGAGTGAAAACCTACGTTCATTTTGCCCTTTTTGAAAATTTGTTGACCTAGAATGCTTTGTAAAGAAGATTTTAGAGGATCACAAGGGATAATAACTCAGACTGGAGAATTTACATTGATTGTGCAGAAAAAAAATGATGCGCGTGACTTCCATTTGAATGATGGACACCTGCCCAGGGCTTTCTCAGCAGATGGATAGTATAGATAGTGTACATTCTCTAATATCAGCAGGGGCTAAGTGTTTTTAGACTTAAGAGATTAAAACAAAAACGTCCAAAAGAACCTAGGCTTGTTCCGATTGTCAGATTTACTCAGATTTAGTTCAGAAAAAATGTATATTGAGAAGACACTTGAACTGAGGGATCAGGGGAAGGGTGTTTTTCCATCCTAAAAACTTACATTTTGTTTTTTAAATAATACTTATGAATTTTGCATCTTACAGTGCTCACTGGAATCTAATGGTTACATTCTTTTCATTCCGGTTGCTCCATAGCTGTGGATCGATCCGTTTCATCAAGCCTGTCCGATGCCAGAGATGCCTTAGTGAATGCGGTCGTGGACTCGTTATCCGCGTACGGCTCGACCGTCTCGCATCTGCAGCACTCCGCGTTGGTAGCACCCAGCTCCCTCAAGCTGTTTCCTCTCTATGTCTTGGCCCTTCTCAAACAGGTAGCTTTCTATGCATCGTTTCATTAAATAAGGTTTTTAAAATGTTTCAAATACATATATGAAAAAATGAAATCTGGGTGGTGGTTTTTTAATACTGAACTAGAAGATTATATACTTTAGCATTGGAAAGGTCCAAGAGAAAGGTCAATGGAAAGTGCAGGGATATAAATACATGACGACTCCAGTGAAACCGTGTGTTCTCTTTCTTCAGTGTGTGTGAGCAATTTGAATAAGGGTGCGGTCATAGCTCATTCTTAATTTGTCCTTCTAAAGAGATTCTAAGGACGGAATCTAATGTTCATCGAGCATCTTTCCATGTCTCAGGCACCATAATAGGTGTTATGTATCTATCACCTTATTTAATCCTCACAGCAACCTAGGGAGGTCTTATTCTCCCTGTCTGTCTTACGATGACAGTATAGTTCAGAGAAGTTAAGTAACTTGCTCCATTGTAGAGCTGAGAATTGACTCTAGGTCTGTCTGATTTAAATTCCATGCTCTTTCCAGGATTGATAATACATATTGGCTTTAATATTTATATTTTACTTCAAAACATGAATCTTTTTCCTTGTAGAAAGCATTTAGAACGGGTACAAGCACACGCCTGGATGATCGTGTATATGCCATGTGTCAGATAAAATCTCAGCCACTTGTTCATCTAATGAAAATGATTCATCCCAACTTATACAGGATAGACAGACTGATAGATGAGGTATGTATTTTAATGCATTTGAAATTTTTAATTTTGAGTATACTTGAGTGTCTTGATTCTACAGTTATGGTGATAATATAGTATTAACTATTTTTTTCCGTTCTTCCCCACCACCCCCATGGTAGTAATACACGAATTAAGGACACAAGCTTTGGATCTGGTTGGATGATAGGACTCTCAGATACTATCAGTGGTTATGGAGTTTTAAAAAATAGTTTCATGTGAGAAGTAATTTATCGTGTGGGTTTGGTTGTAATAATATTTATTACAAAGCTAAGTTGTAGAGTGGACATTTCCATTTCCATTTTGTAGATATTGACTGTTTCTGATATGATCAGTTGAAATTTTGATTGTATAATAAACCAAATCTGGTATCCAATAATAACTTTAATGTGCCAATATGTAGTATAGTGTCTTTTTTCTTCCATGTGTGAAAACTATATTCTTTGGAATTAGTATTAATTCCAAGCATAGTATTATGTTACTAAAGAAGTGTAAAAAAGTATCTTGCTATGCAGCAGAGTCAGCAGTCACACTTTCAATATATCCTGACTCCAAAAGGGAAGGAATGTGACACGTCGTTTTACATATTCATGTCTTTACTTTTTTAATTTGAATACATTTGAGGGTCGTGATTCTACAGCCAAGATGGTAACATATAATCAGTATCTTTTGCATCCTGCAAAGCTCTCAAGGGTTCTTTTCCAGTATTTCATAAAGAGTAGCCATTGCCTCCCAAACTGGGATGGTGGTGATGGAAGCTCATTCACATTCTGTCTTTGTCTTTTCAGGGTGCGGTACATGTTAATGACAGGGTTGTACCTCAGCCACCTCTTCAAAAATTGTCTGCAGAGAAGCTGACCAGAGAAGGTGCTTTCCTTATGGACTGTGGCTCTGTAAGCACCCTCTACTGACGAGCTTGATGCTGTTTGCGCTGGGAAAAAAGAAACATTTACGGGGTCCAGCTCTGTTAGAGGAGGCAGTGAAAGGTGGATTTGGAACTGAAAGGCAATAAGTTGGTAGATGCTCCCTGGTGGACTCTTCAGGAAGGGAGAGCCTTTCTTCTTTCGCTCTGCTTACCTGCCTTCCTGCCGCCTTCGCACCTCCCCATGCCAGGCACGCCTGAGCCCGGAGTTAGAAACCAGCCTGGGCAACATAGTGAGCTCCATCTCTTAAAAAAGATTGGTAACTGGTACTAGAGGTCAATTTACTGTAAACTTTTCTAGTTGGACATAATTTTATATTGATATTATTGATAGTTATATTGATAGAGGTTACGAAACTGTAATACCATGGATTGCTTACTATCATGTATTAAATATACTTGATAAAGAGAAGGTAAGAGATAAATTCCTGTCTTCAAGGACTTTAACCATACAGAATCATAAAATTTAAAAGGACCGTAAGAGTTCATCTAACTCAGCTTCCATCCATTGTCAGGAATTCATTAATGATTTGGGAAATCAGAAGTCTCTGGACAGGGTTAGTGGTGAAGGGTGTCAGAATGGTCAGGTTAGCTTCAAAATGATACCTCATGAGCTGGAAGAGAATTTGGACAGCCACAGAAGAGGGGGAAACATATGAGTTAAAAAAATGTAGAGACATTGAAATAGTGGATGGGAAACATAGTTGATTATCCTGATTAAAACATTGCATTCCTATGGGGAAAATAAGTAAAGAAGGTAAAATATATTTTATGAGAAACCTTAAAATTTAAGCAAAGACGATACGAACCACTCTCTATTCTTAGATGGAGATTTACAGTGTACCTATTACAGGTTTCCACGTCACTTTGATGTTTGTCCCTGCTGTATTCGAGATAGTACACTTCACCTCTCTTATGCATGATAATTTTGAGAAAATTAGCTATAATGGGTTTTCTTAACTATTAGGGAGTTTTAGTATTTTGTTGCCTTTTGTTTTTAGGTTTTTTATATTTGGATTGGGAAAGGCTGTGACAATAACTTCATAGAGGACGTGCTTGGGTATCCTAATTTTGCATCAATACCACAGAAAATGGTCAGTGGATTTTATACAACTTTAACTTTTTGTTTGCTTGTTTGTGACTTGTTCGTGTTTGTTTGCTTGTTAATGACTAAAAAATAGTTAACTGGGAGACTGAAGCAGGAAGATCATTTGAGCCCAGGAGTTCAAGGCTGTAGTGCACCATGATTGTGCCTATGAATAACCACTTCATTGCAGCCTGGGCAACATAGCGAGACCCTGTCTCTTTCAAAAGGCAAAAAAAAAGGAATACAGTCTGAAGAGAGTCTAGTATAAGTATAATATGACCTTATTTGTATTTTTTCAAATGTGTTTGTATGTATAATAATAATAGCTCTATGTACACTTAGAAAATGTCTGAAAAATTTATATCAAAATGGAAATTTTTGTTTTATACTTTTTAAATACTGACATGAATTATGAATGTAATTAACACAAACATTTTTATTTAAATTTTATTACATGCTATATACTTTGAATTATTTAGTCTACTATTAAGTTGGCTTTTAAAAAGAAAAATAAATCTTACCTTTATGTATACGTGTGTATACACACACACACACACACACAAATAATAGACTTTTAGATCTTTTTAAAATAGTCTAGTTTTAAAATATATTTTACACATCCACACTGTTCTTTGAAATTCCTTACCTTTTAAACATTAAGGATTAAAGGAAACATGAAATTCTCCCAGAATGTGTATATTTAGAATAGGATATAATGTATAACTGTTAAGGAAATTTGGAACTCAATGGTAGCCCCCTTCATTTGAATATCTCCTTTAGAGGAAACATAAAGGTGCCACACAACGCCAGTGACATACTAATTATTGTGTGTGTTTTATTGATCCAGGAAAATAGAAACATATTTCTCACCCGTCCGAACTTTGTTCGTTGCTGCCGTTGGCGGGCTGGGGAATAGGGTGCCGGCAGGTGGGTGGTGGTGGCGGGAATCGCGATTTAGTTCTAAGACTGCTAAGTCTGTAGGAAAGGAAATGATTTCCTAATTACTTTCACCAGACACATCTTCCAGAACTAGACACGCTTTCATCAGCAAGAGCCAGATCCTTTATAACTTGGCTTAGAGACAGCAGACCATTGAGCCCAATCCTTCACGTGGTAAAGTAAGTAGCTCTGTAAGTCAATTACGAAGTCGTCTTTTCCTGTGCAATCTGTACAAAATTGCTTGTCTTCTAAACAAACTTTAATATCAAAGTATATTCTGGTGTTAGAATGTTGTTACTTGATTCATATCCCCTGAGTTTCATTTTCTGACGTCTCCATGTATTAGTAATATTTTAAATGTATAATTATTCTTCTTAAGAATATGCATTTTTAGATAAATGCCCTTTTCTCTTTTCCAGAGATGAGAGTCCTGCCAAAGCGGAATTTTTTCAGCATTTGATCGAAGACCGGACAGAAGCTGCGTTCTCATACTATGAATTTCTGCTTCATGTCCAGCAGCAGATTTGTAAGTGAAGTGGAATAAAATTGAGTAAGAAAAAAAAGATCCATACCCAGGTAGGGCGTACTCTGTCAGAAGCGCGTAGGAAATCTCAGTGAAGGCATTTACTGTTACGAGACACAATGCACAGCACCCTGTCTGAGGCTTTGGCACAAGGTAAAGGGGAAGAGAGAATGTGACAGGTTTTCTGCAGCCTAAATTAATGGTAACGATGATGCCGTTTCACCAATATCTTTTCAATTGGTTCTACACATTTCCAGTAGTTTGGCAGTACCGCGTGCTGTTCATTGCAAGCTGGCTAATTCATGTAGCTCTGTGGAATGATACATCATAATGTAAAATTAGATAAATTCTTTTTTCTTATAATTAACATAACACTCTGGACTTGAACTCTGACAAGAGATGCCAAAAGGCAGTGGTACCGTGTTATTCGTTTATATGAATTACTTTTTAACAAGGAATGATTCTTATTCATTAAATGAATTCAACATTTTCCCTGCAAAAACAGTAGAGTTTCAGTACATGAACTATAGAAAAAGTATATATATATAATGTACATAAATGTTACATTTGTAAAGAAAATGTAAAAATTTAACTACAGAATATGAATTGCTTAAACTGTGCTGCATTGTTGGATGACAACTCTTTTTGTCACAGTTAGAGAATGAGGTTGATTAATGCATATTATGAATTGAGTCCACAAAGGAAACACAAAACTCTTTGTAATCTGTTAAATCTTTTATGTGGATTTATTTATGATCAGCCTACTAATTAAAAATATTTTGCTTGACAATATGGTTTGGTGGTTTTTTTGGGTTTTTGTTTTTGTGTGGGGGTTGGTGGGTTTGTTTGTTTTTTTAACATATGTTGAATTTACTACTTGAGGAAATGCAGTGATAATGCATTTCAGTTCATCATACATGTAAATCAGTAAGTTTTCATTTGTCTGTGGACCTTTCCAAGTACCTCTTCTGTTTGTATCCTAAAAAAACAAATGGTGCTACTTTCAAAATATACTTAATTACTAAGTATAGTCTTAAATTGTCTTTCTCATTTAAATTAGACATTTTTCTGCATACTTATAGAAAGAAAATTTTAATAACATGTGACTATCCTATTCATTTAATTGAATTAAAGATTACCATCTTGAATTTTGAGAGTGATTTTATTCTGATCAAGAAATAACAGTAACGGCTTATTTACTGTAAAAACTGTTAATGATCCTTTACATTGTGGAATGGAATTTTATTTTGTATACTGTGAAAGTCCCCTCAACACACCCTGCAAGGAAAAAGACTCTCGGTGTGTGTGGTGAGTGGTTTTCACTGGTTTTGTGCTTTCGTGCGTCTCTTTTCTTTGGAGAGAAACAAAAGCACTCTCACGTTCCCTGATGGGAAATGAGAGGTTAAATGACTCACCATAAATGACGGTACTTACTCATCAGTGACAGAGCTGATAGTAAAAGCCCAAATGTTCTCCCTACCCACCACCTACTCCTACCCCACTCCCCACCCCGGGACCGTGTTCGTGCCTGTACCGCGCCGCCCCCGGCCAGAGATTAGGAGAAACTGCCTTGCTCTAAGGGCAACTCTAGCTCTAATTTTACAACAATAAGTACAATATTTCTTCTTTAAGAAAGACAAAAATCTTTGCTCTATGGGTATTTCATCATTCATTCAATAAGTATTTATAAGCACTTAATACTTGCCAGACACTGTTCCTGGCACAAAATAAAATCCCCACTTCCATAAAGCTTACATCCTAGAGTGAGCGAGACAACAAATTTCTATTCAATTTGTCAAGTATAAATAACGCTGGGCAAGAGGATGGATAATGCTGTTTTTGATGGCTGTGGACCAGCGAAGGCGCTTCCGAAAAGGAGAGAGTTGAGCTGAGACCTAAAGCCGTGTGGACATCTGGAAGAAGTGGTGTTGAAATGGGGTAACTTGCGGAGCTGTCAGCTGAGAAGGGGAAAGAGTGGCAGAGGTTTCATGAAATAGTCTCCCAGGAAAGCGAGACAGTGAGCTGACAAGCGGCGTGTAGCAGGATTGCCAGTACCGAGGGCCCATCTTGGGGTGTGAGCCACGAACTTAAGCCGGCTAGCGAGGCTGTGCGTCCTTCCTCTAGCTGTACTCTGTGCGTGGTGGAAAGCTGGGTTTAGCCAGGGCTGGGCGAAAGGAACAGAGGAGCAAGGGAACCGAGGACGTCTACAAGCGAGTGACTTTCATGTCAGCCAAAGGAGCGCAGAGTGGGTGCTGGAGAGAGACAGGTGGAGATCAGGGATGGGTAGTGGGCGTGGTAGTTGGAGGTCCTGTCGAGGTCGAAGAGTGACTGGAGCATGGATACCAGACGGAATGAGCTGGAAAGGGAAGTAGTGGTCAGGCTACGAGATGCTCGGAATAGAGATCTGGGGCGAGGTTGGATATTGGTACTGACGGGACCTGACAAGACCTAGGGAGTGGGCGGTCGAGGTGTCAGTAAAGATGACTAGAGGCGAGGAGGTCAGAACTTGGAGCCCAGGGTTTTAAATGGATCATCCATTTGATTATTAAAATTGCTCCCCAAAACGCCAGGTGTAGTGGCAGAGAGGTGGGGACTGTGAGTGACTGCGGGAAGGAGGAGCGGCAGGGGACACGCCGTGGTCTGATGGCAGGAGCGTGGAGGACCTGAGCTGGGTACAGAGGAAGAATGATCGGATGCCCGCAAACGAGGAGTAGAGGGATGCCGTTGATGGAGAAAAACTCCAGCCGTTTTCCCCTCTGCTCTCGCTGCATAGCAGTCGACACAGGAGACTTCTGTGACCAAGTGGGGGGTCCCCACCAACAAGCAGTGGTCACCAGCTGGGTGTCCTCCAGCTGAATCCCCGCACTCTCTGCCTGGAGATAGTGTCACATCCCACAGACTGGGGGCTCAGTCCGAGGCTCCCCCAACACCCCCCTTTCAGACACCGATCGAAAGTCCAGGCCACCAGGACTTAGGACCAACTGGCTTCAAGTTGAGGTTCCCACAAACCCCTCTTTGGGTTCAGCTAATTTGCCAGAGCAGCTCCTAGAACTCAGGGAAACGCTCGTGTTTGCTGGTTGATTATAAAGGATGTTACCAAGGACACGGATGAACAGGAACCAGAAGTCCTTTGAGAGGAAAAGAAGGCTGAACGCACATCGTTGTGGGGGCTGCTCTTGGTTTACGTCCGGGCTTTGCACGGCCGGTTCCCTGCTTGGAAAACCCGTTCTTGCCTGTCCCGCCTTTCCTCGCTGAGCCCTGCTCAGCCTTCAGAATCGGCCCAGGGATCGCTGCCACAGTGCCACGGGATACCAAGTGCCCCTGTGACCCACGCTGACCAGCGTGGACTAAGCAGCAAGCGCGAACGTGCGCCGCAGCAACCTGCCATCAGCTGGGAACGGGCTCAGCAGGGGCTGAAGTGAGTTGCATGAGCAGGCGGCTTAGACTCTTACAACAAATATACTTCCTATTATTTGTTCCACCTTAATTCTTTTTTCACTGGTGAGCTTCCCCACTATGTTTTGTGTAGGCAAGAAACTCATCTTTTTTACCCATCGCTCTTACCGTCAGAGCCCAGCAGAACAGTATCCGGCCACCCCCATAAAACCAGAAGTGTGTGTGCTTACATTATTTTAAGAAGTGGTTGTAGTTTTGAACTTAGAAGTCCTGTTTTATTATGTTATTGATCCATTCATTCATTCATTCAGCAAATATTTGGGAACCTCTCATGTGACAAGGCACTATTTGGTGCTGGGGACAGAGCAGTGAACAAAACAGACACGGTCCCTTCTGTCGTGGTAGTGGGGGGAGACATTTTTAAAAAATGTATAAAATGTCAGGTAGTGATTAGCTGCTAGGAAAAAAAAGCAGAGGAAGGGCTATCGGGCAGGAAGTAGGAGTTGGTGCAGCGACCCGCATCAGACGGGGCCTTGCAGGCTGCGGGGGGCTTTGGGAGCAGAGCTGTGATGTGATCTGACCTTAAAAAGATGAGTCCAGCCAGCCCGTTCAGGCGGCCGAAGAAGGCAAGGGTGGAAGTGAACAGTTTATGAAAAAATCAGCCCCCTAGGCATAGTGTAGGTGGAACGTGTTTGGATTAAGAGAAGGTTAATTTGCCCTGAAATTTTGGAATTGGCCCTGGCAGCTTAGACTAATCCTTATTGATGATTCTTCCGCCGCAGTACTGGGTCCCATGTGCTAATATTTTATTTAGGATTGGTCTTACCGACTTTTATAAGTAAGATTGCTCTACAATTTGCTTTTATAATGCTTATTGCTTAATTTTGTTATTAGCATTATGCTAGTTTTTTTTTTTAATGAATTGGATAGCTTCTCGTCTGTTTTGGTGCTTTGGAACAGTTTGTATAAAATAGCTAAAATTCTGGTGTATAAGATAGATTTTATCTGTTCTTGATGTTTTGGCCAAACTGGCCAATTGAGCCTCTGGGCATGGGGCCTCTTTGAAGGTAGATCATTAACCACTGTTTCAATCAATGACTATTAATCTATGTAGAGTCTTTTTTTTTTGAGCCAATTTTAGATAGTTTTAACTTGATTTATATAAGCAATTATTAGAGGTTAGCTTTTTCAATCCTTTCTGTTTATCTATTTCTTCTTTCATTTTTCTTGATCATTCTTGTTTCAGGTTTTCCTATCTTACTGCCTTTTAAAAATACAGCTTTTGGAGGCTGGGCACTGTGGCTCATGCCTGTAATCCTAGCACTTTGGGAGGCCGAGGTGGGAGGATCACCTGAGCTTGGGAGTTCGAGACCAGCTTGAGCAAGAGC